TTGGTGACAGCCACCTTGGTGTTTTACTTTCCAGCAAATCCTTATATCTCACCCAGACATTAAACAATGCTTTCCTAACAATATGGTTCTTAAAGGCTTTGTGTGCTTTGACCTTATCGTACCACAAGTATGCATGCCATCCAAAAACATTGTTAAAACCTTCTAGATTTTAGCCGATTTTGCATGCCCCCTCCCTCGCCTGTGCCCTTGGCGGGGCCCAACCTCACCACCCCCTAACTACGGCCCTGTACCTAGTCCTTTGTTTAATAGCCAAGCATTGTCTAATAGCTAGGTCAGTATTTTGTATAAAATGGATGATTTTAGTACAGTCATTTTCAGAATCAGTTTTTCAAATGGTGTCAATGGTCTAACTGCTTGAGATTCAACTGTTGAATCTGAGATAAAATATATCACCTGATAGATTTATAGCCAATTCATACTACATTCCTCCTTTCTTCCCAAAATTTCCCCTGCGGTAAGAGAAATATAATTTTCATAGAAGTGTACCAATCTATACGGGTCTTTTTCTTTCCATTTCATATAAATCAGTTTTCTATCAGGTGCGTAGGAAGAGGGGTGAAATGCAAAGGGAATCAATTGTGATATAGGCGGTGTTAATTTTGATATCTAAAATCACCAGAAGACATTTAATTCTGCTTTTGAAAATGGAGTTGTTAATATTTCTAAGATAGGTAAAGGTAAAGGGATCCCTGACCATTAGGTCCAGTCGTGACTGACTCTGGGGTTGAGGCGCTCATCTCGCTTTATTGGCCGAGGGAGCCAGTGTACAGCTTCCGGGTCATGTGGCCAGCATGACTAAGCCACTTCAGGCGAACCAGAGCAGCGCATGGAAACGCTGTTTACCTTCCCGCCGGAGCGGTACCTATTTATCTACTTGCACTCTGACGTGCTTTCGAACTGCTAGGTTGGCAGGAGCAGGGACAGAACAATGGGAGCTCACCCCATTGCGGGGATTCGAACTGCCGACCTTCTGATCAGCAAGTCCTAGGCTGTCTGGTTTAACCCACAGCGCCACCTGCGTCTTGTTACAAATCAAGACTGGGATACCAGGTATTCTGTGTTGCACAGGTTTATCAAATTCCAATTGTATGATACAATTTTTATCCAAATCTTCTCTTTTATATTATTTATCATACTAATAACATGTTGTATATGGGCAGCATCATGATCTTTGCAAATGTGGTAGACCCATACCCCATCTCTAGGGGTGTTGATATAATACAGTCAGTGCTATTTTTCTAGAAAAAGAGGTGCCAGAACTCACTACGACTCTTCCCTTGGTCTCTTATAATGGCAACAGAGCCTACCTGAGAGGTGCCAGAACTGACTTCTAGTGAGTTCCAGCTGGAAGAAAAAAAAGCCCTGAATACTGTTAATCCCTGATGAATAAAACTTAAAATCATTTTTTTGCCATTTCTTTAGAGTCTTTGTTGAAATACATATATACAGAGTTTGAAACAAGAACAATTTATGTTGGTAATATCATCATTTAAACTGACGCTACTCTTCCCATACAGGAGACAGATGTCTTTGACCATATTTCAGGATTATTATTTTTTTATGGTTTTCACCATTGGTACAAAATTAACTTTAAATAATTGCATCTGTGACTTTGTGATGTTGATTCCAAAATGTGAAATATATTGTAGGCCAAGTTTAAAACTTGTTTTAAATTGGTATAATTTTCAAAGTTCATTTTAGATAATAATTGGAAGAAACATTTCCAATGAACTTTGTCGAAAGTTGGGTGGACGTCTAGAGAGGTTATTACCTTGAGGCTTTTCCATAACACACTGCATTTTGCATATACAGTCTGTAATATGTCTATTTTTCACAAATCCTGCTTGATCAGTGTCATGCACTGGTTGGATGCAAAGGAATGGTGGGAGGAACCAGCTGGGGAACCCCCAGGGGAAGAAGGCTCAGAGGCGGGGGAATGGTTGTGGGGCAACCAAGAGGGAAAACCCCAGGAAGAGGAGGTGTCAGAAGCTGAAGAGATAACAGGACTTAGTGAGGTGGGCGAGTTTGTGGCAGAAAGAAGTCCAGAATCAGAGACAGAAGCTGGAACAGAAGAATAGGATGAGGGAGGCCAAGAGGCAGAGATAAATCAGGCTAGTGAAGACTCATGGGTGTCTCCCCCTCCTGCAGTGACAATCTCGCCTCCTCCCTAGTCTCCCAGAACCAGTAGAGACATGAAGAGGGCAGAGAAGAGACTGGCGACACACAGTCTTTGATTGCTTGTGGGGGAGGGAGGGAAAGCCTGGAGATGTGGGGACTTAGGCAGCTATGGGGATGGGGGGAACATCAGTCTCAGCTACTTCTTTGTGGGGGGCAAGACTTACTTACCAGGGATGAATTGCTGTGGTCATTAGGCATGACACTCCAATAAGTCTGAGCAGAATTTATTTATTACTACTTCAAGGAATTCTTTTTGAAATGAGCTCTTGGGTCTTTTCAAGTTCTGTCTTCTTCAAATGAAATATTTACGAGCTCAGTCAGTAGAGCACAAGACTCTTAATCTCAGGGTCGTGGGTTTGAGGTACAGTACATGTTGGGCGGAAGGTTCCTGCATTGCAGGGGTTGGACTAGATGACTCTCATGGTCCCTTCCAACGCTACAATTCTGTTATTCTATGTGGGGAAATCCAAATACTGTACTGATGCCTCTTTTTGTTTTGGAATTTCCAGCAGCTTGTAGCAGGGTGGTATATTTTGGGGGTTTCTTCATTTTTGTAGTGTCTCTACACACAAATCATTATACATTTGGATTTTCTGCCCTTCCATGTTCAGTTCTATTGTTTCTGTTGCTGCTTTCATAATTGCTTCTTTTCAGGAATAATGTGCAATTTTTGCTAATATATAGCACAGTTGCTGCTGTTATATTGCACGGTTGGGAGGTGGTGCCAAACCTTCTCCACATTGTTTAAATTCACGTTTAAGATTGGAAACTGCTGATTTAGCCAATTAACAAAAAAGACTTTTACTGTATATCTGCTTTCTCAGTGCCTTTCAGAGTGCCTTTAAGTTGTAAATTATTTCATCTACTTGTATCTTCTAAGAACTGCATACAAAGTTGTTGGTCTGATGTTGTTTTAGTGAATCTCTTAATGGCAGATTTGTTGCTTATTCCTAGTTCCGAAACCTCATTAGCTGAAGCAGACAATTAAGTAAATTTTGTAGATAAGTATTTCAGTTCCATTTTGATTTCGTCTCTGAAGTCTTTGACGGCTGCATTCCATTCCGCTGCTAAATCTTTTTGAAATTGTTTTAAGAGGTCCTGGAAAGGTTCAAAGTCTTCTTTATTGAGACACGTTTTCGGAGCCATTGATCTTGCTTCTTCCTCACTTATGTCTGATCTTCCACTGTTATTTCTAGAGCTAAAATAGCTTCTGAATGCTATTTTTCTTTAGCTATTGGGGGTGAGATGGGCATACCTGTTTAGAGTCCAGTCCTTTCCCAGGTATCCTTTAGCTTTTAGAAGCTTATGATAGCTTATACTGTAATAGCTGGAGGGTTGGAGCTAACAGATTATTCCGCCATTTTAGACAATGATGTCACCATCCTCTTAATTCTACTGTTATTGCTCCTTTTGTTTCTTATTAATTGAAATTTATTGTGTCACAATTTGAATTCCATAGAATAAAATGCAAATATAGGAATTAAAATAAGGAATAAAATAGTTACAAATCAAAATGAATATTGAATGTGCCACAAATAAAGGCGTAAATGAACATAAGACATTTCTAATCTTTATGGAAAACAGGCCTATAGCTGACAGCCAACAGAATGTACCAAGTGTTGGCTGTGCAATACAGTCGACTCTCAGCTCATGCTGGGGTGATGTTCTGGGGATAGAATGCAAAGCCAAAATTGTGCATAGTCAAAACACATTGGATTCAGTGGCAAGTAGGATTCCGTCTTTTATCCCCAAACACCCCCCTCACTTTCCATGTATTTATTTATTTGCCAAGAATGTAAAGTTGTGAGCTACCTGTATTGCAACACAAGTCTGGGTATGCGCACCATTAGCTAAGTGGGGTTTTCTAAAATAATAACAATTTTAAAAAATTGGCCGCACTGCCAGCCTTTCACATGTTAAGATACAGGGCAGATTTCTTGAAATGCTCTTTCATCTTTTGGATTTCAAGGTTTCAGCCTATTGTTCCTTTGGACTCTTTTGTTGTTGGGTACTTAAAATGTGTGAACCTTTGGTGCATTCTGTTGCTATGAGCCATAGACCATTTTGGGGGTAAAGCTTTTACTTTCCTGTATATCTAAGGCATAGAAATATATTGTGTTCACTTAGACCTGATTAGTATCAGCGATGACACTCTAGGTTTGGTATCTCCCGCCTTTAGCCACAAATCCAGATGTGTTGCTGAATAAAAAACCCCTCTCGCGGCCCCACCGCCACCCTTGCCGGAACATGGGCGTACCTAGGATTTTTGTTGGGGGCGGGAGCAGAACCTCAGATTTGTATTTATTTGATTTAGGCTACGCTCATATGCAGGAACAGTTCATTATACCCTCAACACTGATGGTGGAAGTAGAAGGAGAGGCGACCGGGTGGCTCCCAACACTCCTCGCATTCGCAGGCAAGCGTACGGAGAAGAGCCGAATTGCAAGGGGCCTCGACTCAGTGGCAGAGTAGGCGCTTTGCTGAGGCAGCTGGAGCCCCCGCCCCGTGCCCTGGGATTGGGGCAACTTCCTAGGAACACACACAAACCGGTATCCTGCCCAGGGCTTGATTTGCGTTCCATGCTAGTGAATATTCGAGAGACAATATTGCGCCTGAGTACAGTATAGCTAGAATGCCTAACTCCCGCCCGAAGCAGCGGCGGATCTTAGCAGGAGGAGCTTTCCCGTGGCTCCTTTTAGAGTAACAAGGGCTATTAGGGAACAGATGCACGTGGATGCCAATTCTCTGCCAGGTTTCAATATCCCACGGCGGCTCGGCTCAGTCCTGCCTCGTGGAGGGCGGAGCCTATTGTGGCTCGGCAGGCAGAAATCCACAGGTGAAGCAGCTCCCCCAGCAGCGGGGAGAGAAGCCTCGCCTGTGGACTGCCTGCTTGCCTGCAGACGTCCTCCCTGTTGTGTTGCTTGGCTCTGAGCGCGCGGCTCGCTTGGCCTGCAGTGACCCGGCCCGGGCATGGCTATTTCGGGCTCGGCCGGCCCAGGCCAGCCTGCTGGAGCAGGGGGCGCGGGTTAGCGCCCAGCCAATCGCGGCGCGGGGCGACGTCACGGGCGACGGATGCTTGGCCGCGGTGGCGGCAGCAGCAGGAGCAGGTGCGTCAAAAAAAGTCCCGTTAAGAAAAGGGGAAAAAGATAAAGAAAGAAAAAAGAGAAGGGAGGGAAGCAGCAAGCAGGCCAAGCCCCTCCGGCATCTGCTCTCGCCCTCTGGCGGAAGGCCGAGGCAAATACCGAGGTGGGAGGCGCCTCTGAGCATGTGCTGAGTGCCGCCGCTCGCTGCCGAGGCGTTGCTCGCGAGGAGCCTTTAGCTTTGCGAGCTCCCATGGAGCGGCCGAGCGTTGTCGGACAAAACTTCTGAAGGTCTCCTCTGGTTCAAACCCGGGGTGGGGGTGGGGCTAGTGGGCCAGTGGGCCTTCCCTACTGCTTCCGGTAGACTGCTCCTAGCTACGGAAGTTTCTTTGAGTTACCTCGAGCGCGAAGAACGCTGGCGCACCTGGATGGTCTTCCTGCGTGTTCTTCATCACGTCTCAGGTTCATTCTGGTTGGAGGTGATGGTGGTGGTGGATTTAGTTATCTCTGTATCTCTCTCCCCCTCTTTTTGTAAAAGCTTTCCTGGCTTTTTGCGAAGTTGTTTCAGCACATCGGCAAAGCCTCTTTCCCCTGCTGGCAAGGAAACAGCCAAGTCCAGAAGTCTTTCTCAGGACACAACAGAAGAACATTAGGAGAGCATCTGTGGGATAAGGCAAAAAGGGACCCATCTCTAGTCCTATTCTTACAGTGGCCAAAGGCCCCTATGAATTTAGCAATCTAGATAGACTCCCTCTGGACCTGAAGGTTCCATAAGAGCATCAGAAGAACCCTGTTGGATCAGTGGCACAGCATCCTGTTCTCATAGGGGCCAACCAGATGCCCATTATGGGAAGTTCAGAAGCAGAATTTTAGCAAAAGAGCACTCTTCTCTCTCCCGTGGTTTCCAACAACTGAAATTAAGAAGCAGTTTTTGGAGACAGAAACAAATTGTGTTCTGTTATAGCTCGTTGTGATCCCATCTTTCTAAAGCAAAACATATGGGCTCTGCATCCCAGCCAGTGGGGCCCACCTAGATTTGTGCCAGCAGCAATCCCTCCCTCTCTCCCCTCCCCTGGGGGCTCCAGTCTTTGCTGCTTTTCTCCACCAGCCTGTAGTTGGGTGTGGCTCAGGGGGGCTAGTCTGTAGAGATTACACAACTCCTGGAGAAGCCACATGGGCCAGCAGCCATAGAAGTTTGAGGATGCTCAAAAGGACATCCTCCTCTTGAACCATGGTCAGAGGTAGGGACGCTTCTGAAAGCCAGTTGCTAGAAGCCACAGGTAGGGAGAGTGCTGCTGCTGCACTCAGGGTCCTTCTTGTAGAAGACTTCCCATTGGGGCATCAGGTTGGCCACTGTATGAACAGGAGGCTGGACTAGCTGGGCTCCCTTTGGCCTGATCCACTTATATCCAGGTTCTTCTTATGTCCTCTTGTTTTTGGCAGACATTGGAGAAATTGCTTTTCTTGCCTTCCTTACCTTGTTGGGTTGATTGGTACCTAGGTTTCCTTGTGCCTTGGCAGAGAGCCTGTATTGTGAACTCCTGAGGGCAGAGAAAGACTGCCTGTTGCTCCAAGCCAGCCCTTTGCCACAGGTTCACCAGCTTTTCTCTGCCAGTAAGGTGACCCAAGGGAGGAGGCTTGGAAGAGGCCGTGCCCTTGATGCAGGAAGGAACAAGCCCACCTGCATTCATTCACTGAGATGAATAGAGGTATAATAGAGGCCAGTGGGTTGGTAGCCCTCACCAGAAGAGCCAGGTGATCTTCATACTCTCTTTATTGTTGTTAAACAGCACAAGAGCCTGGTGGTTGGATTCTTATTTATTTAGAAAGAATATTTACATGCCACTGTCTCAAAAATGCATCACACTGGTGTATAGTAAAAACGTATGGTAAGTTGAAAGCAAACTAAAAGCAAAATAATTAAAAACAAACATCAATAGATCTTTGTTGGGGGATGTAGTATTATTAATGTTTATCCACACTTCCGCTTGTCTAGCGCCTAGAAAGCATGGGTCCAAGCAGTTTTCTGTTTGCCCCTACTTTTCCTGGGAAAACCACTGGATTGTAGCAAAACTTAGTCTGTGGAAAGCCTGATTGACATTTGCAGCCCTCTCCTGCTGCAGTCCCCCAGCATCCTGCCTCTGATGCTGAAGAGAGTTGTTTGTTTGTTTGTTTGTTTGTTTAATATATTGTCCTATTCCCGCAGGTCTCAGGGCAGTTCATAGGCAGCTTTATCCACTATTAATTTGACTAGCCTACCCCCCCCCCAAAATGGCGGACCTTGCGGTCACCATTATACATCATTGTTGCAGCGCCCCCAGGGCTCCATGCCCAGTGTGACTGCACCAGTTAGAATCCCCTAAATCTGCCTCTGGCCCCCCACTCTGCTTATACACAGTATCTCCCACCTGTTGCAATCTCCCATCAGCCCACCAGAGGGGGCCAGAAGAGCTCTTTCCTTATGTACTTGCTTGCTTCCTTTTGCAACTGTACAAAAGCCTTGGGCTGTATTATTCATCTTATTTCTTGCTCCCTTTTGTAGGGGAGTTTCTCTTTCTGGGCTCCCTGCATATGATAAGGGTAGACAATTCAGGGGGAGCTTGCTCAAGCGTTGAGCGCAGGGCCCAGAAGGGCAGCCCAGCCTGAGCTGCTAATATCCTCAGCAGAAGCCTTGAAGGGGTTTCAGGCTGAATGAACGAGCATCATTCATGCTGAGGCTGGGTTAAGAGAAGTGGGTGCTGCAGGAGCCCTTGGGTGGAGGGCTTATTGGTGGTGGTGCTGAGGCCCCACAGGGTCTCCAGAGGAGATGCTAGCTTTTAGGAGGCTGGTGGAGGTTTCTGACCTGAATTTTTGTCTCTCCTTTCATCCTCTCTGATGGAAAAAGCCTCGGAGCGCCTTCCTTCTCAGTGCACCCATAAAAAGAACAAAGCTGTGGGTTTAAAATTTCTTTATTTTTATTTACCAAGCAAATGTATTTTGGACGAGTATTTCTGCCAGTCTGCACAACTGACCCTGAAGCTTACTCTGTTTAACATGTCAAGCCTTGTGGTTGTTTGCATTATTAAAAGCGGTGCATAAACAAAGCTTCTAGTGAAGTTCCTGGAAGGAAAAAAAAACCCTCCCTAAAACCTCATCCAACAGCATCCAAAGCACCCTGAGCAAAGGGTCTGAGAGAGCAAGGTGAGCAAGGGTGTGTGTGTGTGGATGCACTGGTTACCTGCTCCAGCCTTTGAGAGAAGGGGCCATAATGAAATAAGCAGCATCTGACTGGCCACTGTAAGAACAGGATGCTGAGCTAAATGGGGGGTCCCTTCAGCCTGATCCAGCCACAGGGCTTTTCTGATTTTCTTAAAGATCGGGAACAACATAGTGTCCAGTGACTGCTGTTGTCCTCTCCAACCACTGGCCACACTGGCTGATGGAAGTTGGAGCCCAAGACGTCTGAGCAAAGGCTGGGCCCAAACCATGTGAAGCTTGATAGATAAAGGCCAGTGGTGATGCAATGGTTAGAGTGTTTGGTCTAGGACGTGGAAGAGACCAGGGTTCAAATCCGCACTTGGCTATATGAACTTCATTGGGTGACATTGGGACCAGTGACCCACCTTACAAGGTTGTTGTGAGGATAAAATGGAAGGGGGCAGAGGATTGGAACTGCATATGTCACCTTGAGCTCCTTGGAGGAAAGGTGGGTTCTAAATGCAATAAATTCAGACCTGCAGCTCCATCTCATGGGTGTGCATTGCTTGTGGAAGATTGCAGTCAAATCCAACAAGGCATGCTGCTAGCTAGTAAGTTTAGAGGTATGCAACCCCAGAGCTGTATTGCGGAGAGGCAGAGACTCATACCATAGAAGGAGCATATGCAACTTCCTTCCCCCTCCATTTTCTCTCTCTCTTCTCTGCAAGAGCCACAATAGCCATGGGCAGAATATGCCATCTGTGGATTCACGTCCATGTCGAACATCCATTTTAGGGAGAGGAGCAGCCCCCCAAGGCATATGTGAAGCCTGGAGAGCATCTCTTTGAGAGCACTTAAAGGTAGCCGCTGAATAGGCTTTTTTTGCCTGCAGGAGCAGGAGGTATGTGGTCAGTGAGATTCCCTGCCCAATGCATAGGAAACCCAGTCCTTCTGAAGGGATTAATCTTGGTTTCCCCTTTTAATGTTTTAGCAGGAAGGAGGTGTCGTGCTCCATAAGTGTAACTGCCCCCCACTGCCTTGACCCCTGGGGCTAAGGAAGAGAGAACAGATGTGGCCCATTTGGAGCATGCAGCTGGAGAAGGCTTCCTGCGACCTGGGCTTCACCGAAGCCATCAACAAAAGGATGCAGGTCCCCAACCGGCTGAAGGTGGCAGAGGACCCCAGTGCAGGAGACCTGCAGGGGGCGACCCTGAAGGACTGCCCCCCATCCTACCAGATGCACATCCCTGACAGGATCCTTGTGGCAGGTAGGGAGAAGTGCCTGCTGTACACTAGGGAGTGAGATGGTGGATGAGATAGAACCCTTCTGTGCAGCATCTGTGCACTGGGGTATTGTATAGAGCAGGGATGGGGAACCCCAGACTCCGGGAACTGAATGCACCAAAGCTTTACCTGGCCATTAGGGGACTGTCTCTGCAGGCCACACCCCTCCCACAACTCCTGCCTGCCCTTCTCTGCATCCCTCCTGGTTGGAAGGTGCCTTTGAACTGAGATGACAAGTCTTCTTGCTTGCCTGGATGGAGAGTGGTGTGTGTGTTTGGTCACACACCCTTTGGCCAACCCACTCCTGGAAGGGAACATGCCACTGGGCTGAAAACACAACCCCTCTGGTGTAGGGGAAGGTCTGAAGGCAAAAGCACTTGGTGCTGAAGCTCGAAGGTGAAGATGTCCCTGGGTCCATGCAGACAAGGGGGTGATTGTGGGAATCGTGCTGCCTACACAGGCAAGCTTTACACAGCACAACCCACAAAATCCCATCAGCATCAAAATGCCTGCCTGTATTCCTGCATCTGCCAAGAAAACCTCAGGTGTATGCAGCAAGGTGGTGGAGACCAGCACCAGACTCTGGATAAAAGCCCTTTTTGGTCCCTGCAGGGAGATTGCACATTCCATCTGTGGGGCTATGTGGACAACCTGCCATCAGCTGCCTTGCAGGGCAGATGGAGGTCCTTCCCCATCCCTCTCTCATCTCTTCCTTCCTCTGTAGAAATGACAACGAATGCTGCTGACCAGCCTCACTTCCTTAGCCAGCTGTCGCACCAGCCCCCGATTCTTGAGGAGCCTCTGCTGGAGGCAGCCATCCAGCCAGCCATTTATGGAGAGCACCCCTTCCTCACCTTCATCTCTGGACCTGGATCCCCAAGGCGCAAACGGCTGGTACTGTGCTCGGGACAAGTTGGGGGAATAGCTACAGTTTTGGGAGGGACGGAGATTGGATCTTGTGGCTTCGCAGAAAGGTCCCCAAGGAGCCATGGGGTGGAGTTGTCAGGATCTAGTCTCATGGGCCACCTGTCAACCACCCAAATCACAATAGCACCAGGTGCTTCCAAGTCCCATAGTTGGGACTTCAAAGAACCATGTGCAGCCAGCCAGCCAGCAGACTTTGGCTCCTCAGTCCATCAGCTCTCCCACTTTGATGCTCTCAGTTGTTGTTTGATGGCCGCAACTCTCTCTGCCCCTCACCTCACCTTATATATGATGTCAGGTGCAAGGCAGGTGGGCATGACTCATGGGGAATGTCCACTTGGGCCATATTTGAAACCCTGTAAAGCCAAGATTGGCCCATGGGGTGGGGGTTCCCGACCCCTGCATAGGTGGGTCTCTGAGGAGAGAATCTCCCTTCATGCAACTGCGGTGTGAGGAACAACAGGCAGGGCCAGGTAAGTTTTTTAATGGGGGGCCCTGCAACAGGTTTTAATTGGGGGGGGGGAGACACTTCATGCAGAAATTTAGCAAGGTGCTCTGTGGAGCCACTTCCCCCTCCTTTAAAAGGAAGTGGAACTTAGGGAAAGCTGTGGGGAGACAGGAGAGGGGGTGGGTGAGACGTAAAGGGAGGGGGAATTGGTTAGGAAGGGAGGGCAAAGGGGTAGGTGGGGTTGCAAAGTGGAGTAAGGAGGGGTGGTAGACCCTAGTGTGTGGATTTATATTGTGTGTCTGCCGCACAGACCCTTTGGCAGTGCCGGCTGGTGTGACATGGTTGATGTGCCATGGGGGCCCCCCAAAGAGACCTGGTGGCACTCCTTAGGGATGGTGACCAGTGGTGTTGCCTTTTGTGGCAGCACTAGGGAATAGTGTGCCCTGCCAGGCTGCTCTGTCCTACTGAGCTCCAAGTGCATCTGGAGTGACTGCCTGCGGTCTGCGTTGCCTAAGGGCAACCATTTTTGGAGAGAAGGGGTCCTGCCTTTAGCCCCCCAGCTGGAGCTTTGCCTCTTGCCCCCTCACCCAGGCACATCAAAGCAGGGCCAGAAAGGAGAGGGCGCTGGCGAAGAATCCTCACCGGGGCTTGGGAACTCTCCACCAGAGGCAAGACTGGTAAGGGAAAGCTGCGGAGTGGCTTTGGTCAGGTCCTTCTTGAGTGTCCTGCTGCCCTTGTGGGGCGGGCAGGGGTGGGGTGTTGGGCTTTAGGGGCATTTGCAGCTTCTCTCCCTTGCTCATCCATCCTCCCAGGTGGGAGCCTGCCTGTCTCCCCAGACACATGCCAAGGGCTCCTGGCGTGTTCAGTGGAGGTGGTGGCATCTTCTGGGGTAGCTGTGCCAAGGCAAAGCAGGTGCTGGCAGAGCCTTTTCTGACCAAGGTGCAGGTTGTGGCTGCTCTGGAGGCCAGGAAGTTCCCTTCTGGTGCCAGAGGAAGTGACCACTCTGGTTGTCTCCCTGTGCCCCTGCAGGCAGAAGCCAAGTGCACCGCCCCCTGCCTCCTCCACCCCCCAGCTTCCTCCGTTCCCTTCGGAGGGCAGGATCTACTCCCTGCAGAATGTCCTTCAGGTGCTGTGGTTCCTGGGGCACCAGATGTTCCAGCTGTTTTGCAAGCCTGGCCAAGCCCAATGCAGGTGATTCTCTCCGACTTTGCTCAGGGCAGCATGCAGCTGGCTGGGATGTGTGCGAAGCAGGAGGGTTGTATGGTGCACCATCTGTGCCTCTGGTTGGCAGTGGGTGCTTCCAGCTGGCTGGGCCTCTCTTTCTTGCACTGGTGGCATGTCCACGCTCACAGCCCAGTCTATGCTCTGCTTTCCTGGGTTCCACATCTGCATGGCCAGCTCCAGCTCCATTATTGGAGGTGGTGAGGAAGAGACCATTGTCCTGGGGATTGTAAGAGTTTTGTGGGTACAACTTTGCCTTCAGACCCAAGGTAGGACCCCAAAACTCCACCAAAAGTGAGTGGGGGGCTGCAACCCATGTGTATGCTTCAGCACATTTTCACACTTTGGGGGGCTTTTATGTTGTATTATTTCACCCTGTGGGGAGGGCCAGAAAGAGGGTCATGGAGTTTTGCCCCTTCAGGCCTGGAAATGTTCCCACCCCCCCTTTGGCTTCTTGGACCTGGCCTCACGAGTGAACCCCAGTTGAAATCATGAAGATGAATCACTTGGCCAGTTCAGAAAAGCTTTGGTGATAAATTCGGGAGCTTCTTGCACACTATTTGTACAATGGATGGATAGGTGGAGCTTGTCCCTTGTTTCTTAAAGAGGTCCCCCTACCTGTGGGTTATCTCTGGGCCCACACAATCGGTGTTATAATTTTATTATTTATATGCCACCCATCTGATTGGGTTGCCCTAGCCACTCTGGGCAGCTTCCAGCAAAATACAAAAAACACTAAAAGACACCAAACGTTAAAAACTTAGGCCCTCTGGGAGAAGGTGGGGGCTTAGGCAAGATAAATAAATAGTAATAAATAATTTTATTATTTATATGCATAGGACCTCCTTAGTAGTGGCACCCACCCTGTGGAGCACCCTCCCATCAGATGTCAAGGAGATGAGTAACTATATAACCAACTAGTTCCGTCATACTGGGTGCAGAGCCTGGGGTTGGGGCCACAGGGGCACCACAACTATAACGTAGGATGGAAGGCGAGAGGCAGTAGGGAGTGCCAAATTCTGGCGTTGCACAGGTCACCTGAGATTTGAGACCCCAAGGTCTGCCACTGGCATACTTGTGCAGGTACAGGAGGGGAAGGAAGAAAGCCTGAGGAAACCAGAGAGTGGTGTTCTGCCTTCTGGCCTTGACAGCCTTTGTTCCCTAGGCAGAATGAAGCAGCGAGCTCAGAAGGCAGGTTGTAGGCAGCAGCCCTGGCAATCTGGATGCCAGCAGCGATGCTGCTTCTGGTTGGCCTGGCCTGACTTGCATTGTCACCCTTTCCAAATGCATACTGGGATTGCTGGGAAAGGCCCTGATGAATCCATCCATCCATCCATCCATCCATCCATCCAGAGAACCATCCTATGCCATAGGGGGAGGCTTCCTCTCCATTAGAACCAGCAACGCTTCAAAACTCATGGAGACATTTAACCAGAGGAGATCTCTATTTGATGTCTCGGCCTCCACGGTCAGAGGCAGTGGTGCTTCCAGATGCCAGATGCTGCAAACCGCAGGAGGGCTTTTGTGCTCGGCTCCTGCTTGCTGGTTTCCCATTGTGGCATCTGGTTGGTCACTGAGAGGAGGCTGGACTAGGTGGGTCCCCTTTGACTTAGAATCATAGAATCATAGAATTAAAGAGTTGGAAGAGACCACAAGGGCCATCGAGTCCAACCCCCTGCCAAGCAGGAAACACCACCAGAGCACTCCTGACATATGGTTGTCAAGCCTCTGCTTAAAGACCTCCAAGGTTAAAGACCTGCTTGACCCAGCAGGGCTCTTCTCGTGAGTAGGCAGAGAAGTGGCCAGCAGGTGTCACGTGGCCACACTACTGCATCGGTCAGAGAACTGGCACCGACTGGCAGTGGTCAGCAAGGAAACAGGGAGGTGGTGTCGGAGGGGAGAGCTAAGTGTGTTGTCTGTGTGACCTGCTTTGCACCTCCTCAGCTTCTCTTGCTGCTCTCAGGTGTGGTGGTGGAGCCTGTCACTCCAGTAATGTTTAAGCCAAATTCAGCTCCAGCTTGTGCATCTTCTGTACCTACAGTGTGGCATGGGGTGGTGCCATCTCACCTGAACAAAATGTCTTGGGCTGGCCTGGCTTTGGGGACTCACCATGTCTCTCTCACCCCTTCAAAACCTCTTATGCAGCTGCACCTCATCAGCTGTCCCCATATTTTCTCTCAAGCTCTTGTTTTCTCCTCCCACCTTTTAGTTCCCTGCAGAAAAGTGTGGCCTCAGAGAGCTATCCGGAGGACTTCGGCACCACAGAGGCTCTGGCAATGAAGAAGCAGGTGATGGTTTATTTATTTGTGAAAATATTTATATGCTGCTATTTGTTTTTGTTTTTTATTTAAAAAAAAATACCAGGGCCATTTACAGCAATTATACATGACACTCTATTAGACTTAGAATCGGAAATCAGATGCTGTGGGAAGATGCCTTCTTAACTGCCTGCATAAGCTTGACAGAATAGAGACATTTTCAGCAGGCATTTAAAAGTGGCAGGGTGTTTCACAGGACTGGGCCAAAGACAGTAACAGCTCAGTTTTTCTCTGTTGCCAAAAGAGCCTCACCAACTCAGAGAATGACCAATGACGCTCCTGCCAATGATGGGCTAGAATGGAAGGGTTCAGGCACACAGGACCTTGAGACTGGTTCAGTTGTAGGTGGGCAGCCAGTGCAGGCATTTTAACAAGGCTATTGCATGTTCTCGGCCTGGTGCCCCCATCAGCAATCTGGTCCATCAGCAGGTAGTGGACGGGTGGGGAGGGAGGGAGGGAGGGGAAGCACAGAAAGTGACATACAGTGGTGCCTCGCAAGACGAAATTAATCCGTTCCGCGAGTCTCTTCGTCTTGCGGTTTTTTCGTCTTGCGAAGCACGGCTATTAGCGGCTTAGCGGCTATTAACGGCTTAGCGGCTTTAAGTAAGTGGAAACAAACTAGCAAGAACTCGCAAGACGTTTCGTCTTGCGAGCAAGCCCATAGGGAAATTCGTCTTGCTGAACGACTCAAAAAACGGAAAACTCTTTCGTCTAGCGAGTTTTTCGTCTTGCGAGGCATTCGTCTTGCGGGGCACCACTGTATTTGTCTTGTCCCCCTGCATGGGATTGTGCTTGCCCTCTTGTTCCGGTGGATGGGCTTTGAGCATTGCTGCCCTTCCCTCTGGTGAGGCTTTTCCCTCTTACTGCGTCATTCCCAGCAAAGCTTTTCCCTCAATGGCCTCTGTTTCGCATAGCAACCCGAGGCTGACCTCCTCCCTGTTGCTCTTTTTTTCTCCGGGCTGCAGCTGATGAAGATCGCAGGGCGGCTTCAGCGCCTGGAGAAGCAGCGTATGGGCTGGCACCAGAAGGAGCTGCTGTTCTACTCTGTGCTGGCCTCTTCCTGCCTTATCAACATGTGGCTTTGGCACAAAAGATGAGGAAGCCACCCTGCTCCAAGCAGCAAGACTTGCTGCCAGCAGTCAACCTTGTGCTTGTTAGTTTTCACTGAGCACTTGCCTAGGTGTCCTGGGGCTTCCTTGTTTGGGGTTGCAGCCAAAAGGGAAATGGGCTGGAGGGGATGTGTCTTGTGTGTGCAGAAGGAGGAAGGCCAGAAACGGGGCAGGGCTGGGGGTCCTCCAGAGGGCAGCTACTCCTTAGTCGGGACTCGCCTTTCTTTTGAATATGGCTTCATATGTGTGATTCATCCAGGCATGATGTGATATACTTTCTTTAGGGAGGGGTCCAAGGCAGCTCTAGCTGCAGTTATGATGATGGGATTTCACCGATACAAGGGATGTTGAGTTGCCTTAAGATGATGGCTTCGGGGTAAGTGTGGGTTGGTGTGCTTCTTAATGCTAGTTACCATTAAGGCAGGGTTGGGGAGTGAAGGAGAAGGATCAGGTTCTCACCTGCAGGAGGGTTGATGGGAACAAGAAGGGTAGGAAGAGATCACTGGAAAGTCTCAGGACCGCAGATCCTATAGTAAAATAGACTTAAAGCAGTGGGCAGCATTTGTGGCCAGCTTCTGATAGAAGTACAGGAGTAGGACTGAGCCAAACAGTCCCTGGGAAGGTCACAACCCCAGGGTTTCTCCAAGGCTTCTCAGGGTCCTTCAGCGCATGCCAAGTTCTCCTTAGTGCTCTGGTGGTTTCCTGGCCAGTGGGCCTGTATGTAACAGTTTGGGTGTCCTAAAATTCGAATAAAATTTATGGTAAAGAGCTTCTGCCTCTGTCTCTCTCTCTCTCTGTGTGTGAGTGATGAAAAGGAGGGGTGGTGTCAGAAGAAGGAAGGTCTGTTTCTTCTCTGGGCTCCTATTGTGCCCACAGTCATTGGCATCAGATGGAGAGACAAATGTCTCAGCCTCCCAGCTCTCCACAAAGTACAGCAGGGCAAGCTTGGCAAGGAAATTGGGCAGCTCTGCAACCTTGCAAAATGATTCAAAGTTTGGAGTGAGACAGTGGCCAAAATAATTAACAGAGCATGAAATAACATGAGAGAAAAGCAAGCTGCAAAAGCCCACTGGCTCTTCAAGATGGTCTGATGAAGTTGATTCCCCCATAAATGCAACATCCTTTATATCTTGGGGGTAGAATCCCATCCATAGGGAGAGAGAGGCTGTGACAGTGTGAGGCAGGTCATACACATGGGGGAAACTTTTAGGAATCAGTGCTGGGGTGTGTGTGATTATCATTGCTTTGCCTTGGAAAGGGAACAGGTGTGAATTGGAAGGGCTTTCTCTTGAGTTCCAGTCAGGCAGATTTAACTAGAGTGTTGGTGGTAGTGCTTCAGGCATGGTGTGTCCATATGTGGAACAATGGTATCTTGGCGTGAGGAAATGGGAGTGAAGAGATACAGGCAGGATTTGGGCCAGGCATGGTGACTCTGGTCTCTTTACACTGAACCCCAGTTGCTGGAAACCGCAGGAGGGGAGAAGGCTCTTGTGCTCACGTTCTTCCTGGTTTTCTACAGACATCTGTTAGGCCACTGTGAGAACAGGATGCTGGCCTAGACGGCTCTCCTTATCTCTCCTTATCTCCCTTTTCACCTAGCCTGGAGAGATGTTTTTGCAACTTCTCCCACCCTGAGCAAACTGGCATCATCAGTGAATGTGGCAACCTCAATGCTCATCCCTAACTCCTGGTCACTGATGCACAAGGCAAAAAAGCACAAGGGCTTTCTCCTTACCTATACATGGTGGACCCCACTTCTTGCATCCCCGGGTTGGGAGAGGATTGTCCATTTTTTGTTTCTGCCTCTCTGGCCCCTCCCACCATGAAGAGCCTTGGCCATTTGCTCTGCCCCCTGGACTGACAGAGCCCACCTCACTAACCATTGGGGCGGTGTGTTTATTTGTTGCCAAAGGATGTGCATTTCAGAGAAGACATGAGTAGCGCAAGGTGGTTGCTTGAGGAGGCAGGGTGGACTCTCCAGTAAGTCTCTGACTGTCGCTTACATCAGGCAAAGTGAGAACAGCACCTTTTCAGGACGGGGGGTGTTGTGCCCCCACTTCCTGTGATTCTGCTGGGAACAATCCGGCCAAAGGGAAGCCAGATCTCTATGGGAAAAAGAAGCACAGAAGCTGGGAGAGAGGGGGGAGAAGAGACCATGCTCCTTTTAGGTAGGTAGGTTGGCAGCCACCTGAACTGAAGTGGGAGTGCAAGGGGAGGCCTAAAGGTGAGCTGCTTGTCATGCCCTGAAACAACATACTTGAGTGAGCTGCCTGGTGCATGCCTCAGTTTCCCCTCTGTAATCCCCTCTGTTTATTCAGCCAATCTGGGAAGTGACAAGCATGTTTAACATTCTCATGCTGCCCTTCCTTCAGCTGGCATTTTGCCTGAGCTGCCACTGCCGCTCACTTTCATCTTTCCCCAGGAGAGGAGGGTTGTTGTGTGTTCGGGAGTGTGTTTTGCAACAGAAGAGCACCAGGAGGCCAGAGGCATTCTTCAAAGGAGTGGCAACCAGAGGGCAGCTACTGCTGCTCCAGCTTAGGATTCCTTTGCCATCTGCCGCACATACAAAGTGCCCCCTCCCCCCGGAAGCAGATTGAGGATCTCCTTTGCAGCAAACAGCAAGCTCTGGGGAGAGGAAGAAGATGGAGGTGGGGGTAGGGGTCTTCCTCCAGCAGACTTGGCACTGGGCTCTGAGTCTACCACATAACTGCAGGTTCAGTTCCAGACCACCAGAGTAAAGCGAATACAGTCATACCTCGGGTTGAATACGTTTCGAATTGAGTGCGTTCGAGTTGCACTCCTTGGCAACCCGGAAGTAACGGAGTATGTTACGTCCGGGTTTCGCCGCTTGCGTATGCGCAGACGCTCAAAATGATGTCACGCAGAAGCGGCGAAAAGCGATGCTCGCATGCGCAGACGTGCCGTCACTAGTTACGTTTACCTCTAGATGCGAACAGGGCTCCGGAATGGATCCCGTTCGTATCTAGAGGTACCACTGTATCACAGTGGGCTGTGGTCTTCCTTCCCCTGGAAGCAACTGGGCTGCCTTCAGGGGCACCTGTGTCCAAGAAAGGAGCAATATCTGTGAAGCACAATCCCTTAGCCTAACCTACCTCACAGGGTTGTCATGAAGATAAAATAGGGAGTGGGAAGCCACATGCTCCACCTTGAGCTCCTTTGAGGAAAAGGGAGATACAAATATGGTATGCATGTGTGTATTTACCGTATACACACACATATATATGGACAAACACATGCCTATTTGCAACAATTACAGATGGTTTGCAGTGATAATTTTATGCAAGGGATAGCTTGGTAGAGCATGAGAATATTAATCCCTGGTTCATGGGTTCGAGCCCAAAATGGGACAAAAGATTGCTTCATTGCAGGGAGTTGGACTAGATGCTCCTCATGATCTCTTCCAACTCTATGATTCTTAAGAGGGGCATGTGTCCCCCAGAGAGGATGTTTCTTACCAGGTGATGCCTTCTGCCACACACAGAGACCCATCATCTAGAAAGAAAAAGAAAACAAAAAACAAGTGAATGCTTTTGGCTTCAGGGTTGACTAACTGATCAATTAATCAAACAGAAACTCAGACACGGGAATCCCTCCTAAGATTTATTTAGTCAAATGACAGTCGTAAACGTAACCTGACGACATTAGCTGTCGAAGGATTTTGGAAACTGCCACTGCAAAACAGATGATTTGCGGGACCCCCAGTGCCTGCCTTCAATCCTTCAGCACGTTCCTGCATTCCTGGCTCACGCTCCCATTCTGAAAGAAGAGGGGCTGCACTTTTGCTAGCTAAATAATAGGTCCATATTTTGGGGCACAGGTCCAGTTCAGTAAACTACCCAGCCCTTATCAAATAAGCTCCGTAGGGAGGCAGCAGTGTGAAAGGGATCCTTTGGGACTGGCTGCCTTGCTAAACTGAAGTCAGAGGAAGGGTTAACCAGCTGAGGCAATAGGCGAGGAAGAGCCTCTTTCATCCCTTAGGCATAAAGGCTTGTGGAGCACACCTTTGCTCAGAGTTGGAGGCATGTGCGCTGCAGCAAGAAGTGCAGGTAAACTCCTGGCTCCTAGATGTATGCTTTGGCTTGCAGTTTAGTTGGTTAGGCCCCTGTGCTGCTATGGCCAGCAAGCTCTATGTGTGTGTGTGTGTGTGTGTGTGTGTGTGTGTGTGTGTAGCTGCTCCTTCATGCCACAGACCATGTTGGCATCAGCTTATTTTCTGCCATCCCAGCCTGCTGAAGAAGACCCTCCAAACCCCTTGGGATGACTCCTGGATGATCCCAGCAACCTCCTGAAGGAACAGAGTGAGAGTGCCACTCACCACTTACGCCGAAGGGTTGCAAAAGAAAACTGAGGCCCAGAGAGCGGGGTTGCTCTGCACTGCCACCAAAGCTCATTGAAACCAGCTGCCGGTCCTGCTGCCTTGCCCTGTTCTCATGCTGAGTTTGGCTCTGAGACAGAGCCGTGTGCAGGACCCCTGACTAGTGAGTAAAAGTGTGTTTGGGGAGAGGGGGTGGCCAAACCCTTCCTGCCCTAGACGGGGGTGCGGTGTTGGTGTTTCCCCCCGCCCTTTGCACTGCAGTGCTTTGCAGTAGCTGTGAGTTTTGTAATGCTTTTCTTGATGCTTCCTGTTTCCTCCCGCAAGGGCAACCTGAGCCCTTGCTCTCTTTTAGAGCCACCTTGTCATGGGGTGGGCGAGAGGCATTAATTCCATTCCTAGCTGGCTGTTGGACAGTTTCTGTACAAACAAATCCAGTCAGTGTGCCTGTGTGTGTTTCCGTGGGGCCTTTCGTCTTCTGCACATGCCAGGAAACAGTTGTACGTTACCCATGGCGAAGAGACATAAAGAGAGGGGATCCAAGAATAAATAAGAACCAACCGGTGAATAATGTCTGCTCAATAATGCTGGCAAGGTTTTGTTAGTTAGTAGTTAACCGGGGGACAGTCTCCAGCTGACAAGCCTCTTTCCTTCTCTCTTTGGCTTCCAACTGACTTCTTCCTGCTTCCGCAACAGACTCTTCCAACTGCCCCGGAATGTCCTGAGTGCAGGTGTTGAGTGACATCCTAGTAGGGTGTAGAGGGCATATCTCTCTCACACACATTGCCTTGTGCTCCCTCCATCTGTTGTCAAGTGCTGGGCCTCCTTCCTGGCTCCTTGCTGAGAACCCCTGCTTTACAGGACTACCTCTGTCTAGAAGGTACTGAGGACTTCTAGTATGTCACATAACCAGTGCTGATCTCGTGTACGTGTGTGTGTATGGGGCAGGGGACACTCTCTGTGACCCTCTTCCTCCCCCGCTTCAGCTTCCCTGCTCGTTGTCTGGAGCTACTCCCACCTCCCCAAAAGGCAGGACTAGCTCAATTGGGATTCATCCAGCACCACCAAACCTTGTCCTCCCACCAGTGTTTTGGTAAAGCATGCAGGAAGTGCAACCTGAGCGACAGATGAAGTGAGAGGCTCGGAGATCTGCCCTTTGAAAGCTGAGGGGTGTTAACTGAGGTGCTTTGCATTTGTCCCCCTCTCCATCTCCAACTCAACCCTACTGTCTGTTACATTATGAACTGACTTGGGTAAGTGAAGAGATTGGAACACCCTTTTGCTCATGCTGGGAGCCCAAGTCTTGGGATCTATATAGGCGTAACAATTGGGATTTCCTAATGCACCCATGAAATTAATCTGACAAAAGGGCACCAAAAGGCCTGTGGGAAGGAGGAAGGGAAGGTTTGGTGGTATCCTGGTCTGGGTGGTATCCAGACAGCTGTGATGTTGAGGTGGGCTAGGGAGCTGAATGGAGTTTAGTGACGATGGTTGCTGGGCTTCAACTGGCCCAGTTGCCCTCTCTTATGCTACTGCTACTGTGAACCCTTATGTGCTTATAACTGGTGTTATCCCACCCCGATTCCAAGATCCATCATTCAAGTAACAATTTGAGTTTTTGGTGCAAAGTGAACCACATGTTATACACTGTGCATGTATTGCCATTAGCCTCCCATGGGATTTGATTGTTTACATTTGCTGAAATAAGCACAGTAATTGACAACCAGAGTTAACAAGGGAGGATTAATCAGTTGCAAAAAAAATAGTATGGCAGTTTAAGTATACTATAGCAACAGTTAATAGCTGCCATGCAAAAGTCTACCAGAAGCCATGCACCCCGCCCCCCGCTAGTTATAGTGGTTTCCTTTGTCAACAGATATTTGCCATTTCCATCTCTCTCTTCATAACCATTGTAAAATCTAGAATGAACAGCACTCTTCCCCAGTGCCCCCCACCCATCTGCTGGGGCTCTCATTACTATTGTGGATCTATTGAGAATGGCTAGGAGAGCACCTCACACCTGTTGTTAGGGAAGGGCTTATGCTGATGTGGTTGCCTTGGCAACAGTGACAAAGATGAAAGCCTCTGGGAGAAGCCTTGAATAATAACATGGAGGGACCACATGGGAGAGAAAGCGGGTGTGGAAGGCAGGGGACCCTGAGAGTTTAAAGAGTGGAGAAATAGAGCATGAAGCAGAATTCCCTTGTACACTATAGAATTCAAATTTAAGTTTCAAGCATTTATGCATTTACTCAGTTAGCTCACATTTGCAAAGTCTGAAAACAGTGACAAAAACTGACATTTTAAAATGAAGCTTTCATTTCTCTTTATTGTAATTGAGAAGCAGATGAATCACATCTCTGTCATTCTGTTGAGAAACTGAAAATGGGGGCTGGCCACCACAAGCAATTGGCCGATTTGGGACAGCTAATCAGTCCTTGAAGGCTGGTGCTGACATCTGATCTTCATGCCCTCAGTGATTGGAAAGAAGCTGAGGGGCCACAGGTCACTAAAGATGGCAGGTGGGCATTTGCCAAATTTCCGGGTGCCAGAGGGAACCTGTGCCTGGCTTGGGAGAACTCACTCTTCCAAGATAAAGGAAAGGTCGCCCATCTGATGGGGTCCCCAGGAGCTCCTGAGCAGAGCCAGAAAGCAAATCATGGCAGGAACACTAAGCAAAGGGGGCCTTTTGCCTCTGTGAGTTGGAGGGAACAGTGCCTGGTGGTGCATATGTGGGTGATGGCATTCCTCCAACCATGGGCGTAGCCAAGGGGCAGGCAGGGAGGGGCAGCTGACCTCCCTTAAATCAAGTAAAACAGGAATACTTAGAAATACTTAACTACCTGACCAATCACAACGGTTCTGTCCCCCCTCCCCGCAACAAAAGTCCTGCCTGCCCCCCCCCCCGGTCCTGCCCCCAAAACAAAAATCCTGGCTACACAGTCACTGTGGCTATAAGCAATCTCTAAACCGAACATACCAAAACAAGGAACATAAGCATAAAAGTCCCATAAAATTCAAGTGAACTGATGGGTAAAATTACAACAGCATGGGAAAACACCAGCAAAACATAAAAAGGTGACTACAATGTAATCAAAAAACTTCCTCAGGAGTTGGGGAAAACTTGCCTTGGAATGTACAGTTCTCTCAACTGATACAGTGCTCATTAAATATACTGGGCTCTCTAAGTATGCTGGGCTCCTCTTGAGTCTAGTGGCATTTTCCCTGATCTGTAGTATACTTTCTAGCTGACATTCCCAGGCCTACCTGGAAATGCTGCCCTGTGCGGGGTTGTACCTGTGACCTTTTGCAAAGCAAGCAGATGCTCTACCCTTGTGCCATGGTGCTTCCCCGTACGGATCAGCTGAATAGGGGGTTAGTGCCCCTGTCCCTCACCAAACGATGTTACAACCTCTCAGGCCCCTTCCATGCTGTGTCTACGATCTTATTTGTTTTAATTTAGCAGCTGGCACCAAAATCAGTGGGGCTTTTGTGGGCTAGGAAAATGTACTTGGATGGTGAGAAGGGATGAGTGAGCTCTCTGGGCCAGAAGCTGGCAATCCCCACCTTAAGCCAGGGAGGAGCTCCCTGGTGGTCTCTGTTTGCACTGGGGCAGCATCTCCTCCCCACAACTCGTTGGAAGAAAGCAACATGAGGAGGTCTTGTCCCCGGGATTCTTTCCTGGGTATTCGTTCTTTTCTGTGTTTCCTGGCACAGGTTCCTCTCCCTCCTGCCGCTGCTGCCTTCTGTGCATGGAGAAAGATGGAGAAAACGAACGGTCTGAAGGCTTCCCCTGCCAACCATCAGCCACAGGAGCCCATGAAAACTGCTGCCAATGGGGATCCAGAGAGAAAGGAGCTCAGCAACCACAGCAGGTAACTCTCAGAGCAGGTGGCCTTGAGGTCTGCTGCAAGGGGTCCCTGGCCCAAGAGCCAGCTTGTCACTGGATACCCAGTGTTGAGGGGGGAAAGGCACCCAAAACATGCTCTTCAATAATTGGTTGCTGCATACCCATACAGAGCTTGTCTGAGGCCCAGGGCAGGGGTCTTGTTCTTGGCTTGACTGTGTAAGTCTGTCATGCCCTTGGCAGGGCCCCCAGCTGTTTTAGCCCTCTAAGGCCTGGGGCAAGTGTATCTGGTTGCCCACCTCCCTGCAAGGGCCTGGGCTATTGCCTAGCATAACTGAATAGGGGTCAGTCTGTGCCGAAAGGAGGAGGGGAAGCCTTTTGGGGCCACTTGGGAAGGAGTTCAGGGATGAGAGCAAATGGTCCTTCCTGGTGAGAGTGGAGGCCCCGGGAAAAGTTTCCTCCATGGGCGAATTCACAACTCTGAGTTCCAATAGGAAACACACTTTTAGAGCATGGTGCTAATGATGCCTGCGTTGTGGGTTCAATCCCCCTATGAGCCAAGAGGTCTGACTCCTGCACTGCAGGGGGTTGGACTAGATGACCCTCAGTGTGCCTTCCAACTCTGCATTTCTATCAATCTATGATTCTGAAAATGTATTGGGACCCTCCACAGCTGGGCTTTTGTGAAGCAGCCCTTTCAGATCCCACCCCCGCATTTCTCAAGCAAATGCTTGACTTCTTTGCATCTCAGCACAGCGTGCTCTGTAATAAGGGTGGCTGGGACAGGTGAGAGGAGATCTGATTTTTGTCTCCCCAAGGTTTTCCATACAGCCAGCAGGGATAGGATCTCAGATTAAATCTCCACCTTGTGGTCAAGGCAGGAGGTAGGCTGTAGCTCCCAAAATCCTCCAGTTTGCTTTCCTGCCTATGTTGAGCACAGTCACGAATCAACTCCCTTAGTGTGTGTGTGTGTGTGGGGGGGTTCTCTAGGGCTAGGCAATATGGGAGTCATTACAACTCCCAAGTCAATCAACTTGGATTGATGTGGAGTTCTTGCCTTTATGTGGGAAGGGAGCTTGAGGAAGAGGCAGTGGCAGTGGGAGGAGCAGACCCCCTTATGAGGGGAGGGTGTTCCGCTCCATTCCCACCTCTGCTTGGCAGCCAAGGGTCATCCTTCCTACCTGGTCTCTCTACAGAGTGCCGTCAGCCAATGATGACACGTCCTCAGAACTTCAGCGTGTTGCCGCCTTGGATAATGTGGACGAGAAATCCCACAAGACAGGAGGCCTCTCCAGGTACTTCTTATGGGGCTCCTTGTGGGGTTGATGAAGCACAGCCAAGTGTCTCCTCCTCAGGCTTTGTGGTGGCCTTTGCAGTGGAGATGGAAAATGCAACAGGAGCCCACCACTCTGTGGAGCAGCAGTCTTTGGAAGTGGGGGGGGGGGTCAGCCTGGGTGGGTGTGGAGGTTGCACTGAAATTGTGCCCATCAGCAAAACCAAGGAGTAGTCTCCATGAGCTACTCCTCTCTAGATGGGGATGTTACAAGAAAGGAGATTCCGACTCAACTTTCTGAGGGTAAGAGCCATTCAACAGTGGGACGGACTCGCTTAGATGATGGTGGACTCAGAGGGTTGAACTAGGTGGCCCTTGGGGATCCCTTCCAACTCTACAATTCTATGATTCTATTATTTTGACTCATTACCCATAGCTGAGCTGGTGTTTCAAGACTTAGGAACGTAAGAGACTGTCATTTACTCAGGCAGAGCATTAGCCCATCGAACTCAGTATCTAATCCTGCCTATGCACGGTTTCAGGCAGGGGTCCTTTCCCAGCCCCACCTTGTGATGCTGCCGGGGGTTGAACCTGGGACCTTCTGCATGCAAAGCAGGTGCTCTGGCCACTGAGCTATGGCCCTTGCCCACAATTCCACCCTGCTGGGGCTGCTCTTGAAAGCCCATAAGGGCCATTTGTGGAGATGGCCTAGAACGCGGCAGGCGTTTCAGGGGAGGCCCTACTACTAGCTGTAGCTGCTGAAGAACCCTCTGCTGTTTCCCCTCCTAAGAAGTACTTGATTAATAATAATAATAATAATAATAATAATAATAATTTTTTATTTATACCCCGCCCTCCCCAGCCAAGGCCTGGCTCAGAGCGGCTTACAAGCAATAATAAAAACAAGTTGAATGATTACAACTTAAAAACAAAATTAAAAAACAACATTAAAATATCGAAACACTAAAATATTAAAATGTAGCCTCATCTCAGGAGGAGAAGGAAAAGAAAAAAGAAAGGGAGGGAGGGAATCAAATTGGCTCCAAGCCAAAGGCCAGGTGGAACAACTCTGTCTTACAGGCCCTGCGGAAAGAAATCAGATCCTGCAGGGCCCTGGTCTCATGAGGCAGAGCGTTCCACCAGGCCGGAGCCAGAGTTGAAAAGGCCCTGGCTCTGGTTGAAGCCAATCTAACTTCCTTAGGGCCCGGGACCACTAGGGTGTTGCTATTTATGGACCTTGAGGCTCTCCGTGGGACATACCTGGAGAGGCGGTCTCGTAGGTATGAGGGTCCTAGGCCATGAAGGGCTTTAAAGGTCCAAAGCAGCACCTTAAATCTGACCCTGTACTCCACCGGGAGCCAATGCAGCTGGAAAAGCACTGGGTGAAAATGCTCCCATGGCAGAGACCTCGGGAAGAGCCTCTCTGCAGCATTCTGCACCCGCTGGAGTTTCTGGGACAGCTTCAAGGGCAGCCCCGCGTAGAGCGAATTACAGTAGTCAAGCCTGGAGATTACCGTCGCATGGATCACTGTGGCCAGGTCGATTGAACAAGATGGGCAAGAGGAGGCTTCGTAACCCTCACAAGCCCCGAGGACTTTGTCTTCCTCTTTTGCTGATTCCCAGGAAAGCTGATGACAGTGAAGGTCACTGACTTGGATGGCTCTAAAAGTGGATTGGACAGATTCATGGAGGAGAAGAGGGCTATCAATGGTGACTAGCCAGGATGGCTATACTCCACTTGCACTGTTAAAGGCAAAAATGCATCTGAATCCCAGTTGCTGGGGACCACTGGAGAGGGGAGTGCTCTTGTGTTCGAATCCTGCTTGCAGATTTCCCATAACGGGCATCTGGGTGGCCACTGTGAGAAGAAGATGGTGGACTAGATGGGCCATTGTCCTGATCCAGCTACAGGGCTCTTCTTTTGATCCCTCCTGGCAGCCTGGAAGGAGTGAGATGCTTTAGCACCTAGATTAGGCACAGGGGGAAGCAATGGGCAGAGTGGGGCTGTGTAACTGCAGCTCAGAGGGAGAGAGGAAAAAACCACACACTATACACTTCTCCTGCCCAGGGTGAATGTGAGGGGAGACTCCACTCCACTGCTCCACTGGAAATTTATGGATGTTCTCTCCCCCCTCCCCATTTGCAAAGCTTGACCCTTTCCCTTCTCTCTTCCCTTTCTAGGATAGCCCGCCTGGTGATGGTTATCCGGGGCTGGGCCAATAAAGGCTTGAAAGAAGAAGAGCGGCGGCCAGACTCCTTCCTGGAACGATTTCGAGGACCAGATGTCAAGACATTGGCAGTAGCTGCAGCAAGGGGCGATGGGTTTGATACCCATGACAGAAAGACAAAGTGAGACTCCCTCCTGGCTGGCTGGAGCTGCTGTGGGAGGCTTTGCATGGACAAGGAGATGAAATCATAGGCCACCTTCCCTCTTCTTCTCACCCCCATCTCCTTCTTCATCTTCATCTTCCTCCTCCTCTTTCTTCTTTCTCCCGCTTCCTCCCTCTTCCTCTTCTTCCTCCTCCTCCTCCTCCTCCTCCTCCTCCTCCTCCTCCTCCTCCTCCTCCTCCTCTTTTTCTTTCTTTTCCTCCTTCTCCTCCTACTTCTTCCTCATCTTCCCCCTCCTGCTTCTTTCCCCTTTTTCTCTTCCTTTTCTTTTTTCCTCCTCCACTATAAATAAGGGGCAGGCCTCATTGGTAAGGCTGGACCTTGCCATTAGCCATGGTAATTTGAGCAAAGAGGAAAGGGCAGGCTGCTGGAGAATGAAAGAGGCTCACAATCAGCCAGGGTCTTTGGCACTGAGCAAACAGGGTCTTCCCTGAGAGGTTAAGTGGAATGTGTTAATTACCAGGGAGCAGCAATGGTTCTGGGCTGCTGTGGCCCAGTGAGGCTTTTGCAAAACAGGAGCAGGCAAGAGTGTTCAGGCCATTGTGTAAGGCTGTTGTGCAAGTGCTGAGGTTGTTGGTCATTGTGGACAAGGCTGAGGAGAGGAACGGGGCATTCCTTTTCTTCCCATTCTATACTTTAGAAATAAAAATTGCCATACTTTGACAGCCTTCAAGGGATGCCATTAAGGCCTTTCAGGGAACAGGGAGGTTGGGCTTGCTCTAGTGATTCTAGCAGCCAGGACCTCCTGCCTTCTCCCATCCAATGCCCTATGAGCCAGCCCACCCCTTTCCCTCTCCCATGAGGCCTAAGATGGGGTTGGACACTTCTGTAACAATCTGAGGTACTGGATGGAGACCTCAGAACACCTGAAGTGGAGAGCAGGTAGCTCGGGGGGGGGGGGGCTTTCCTTTGGAGCATCTTGTTGGCCACTGTGAGAACAGTATGCTGAACTAGATGGGCTCTCTTTAGCCTGATCAGCTGCTGCAGGGTTCTTCTGATGTTCTCGCTGGGCGGCTTAGGAGGTATGAGACGCTTCAGCAACAGGAAGGCTGATTGGACATTTGGATGGAAGGAAGGGGTGGGCCTGGGGTGTTTACTTCTCAGTCACTGTGCTGTGGCCACCTCTGGTCATCTGTCTGGGTAAAGGAGGTCTGTGTGTGCTCACTTAACCCTTTCAGTTTCATGTACTCCAAATCACACCCACCGCCCCCATGGTGTGAATTCATGCCTTAGCTGCAATTTAGACCAGGGATTTGAAGATTGCAGGCTCTCTCCACCACCATCTCCCCTCTAGGCCAGATCCACTGAAGACTCATTGTGGCCACTGAAATGTTTTGCTTCTATCTGCAGGAAGAAATGGAAAGTCTTTGTGATGAATCCCGCAGGGGACTGGTATTATCGGTGGCTTATGGTCATTGCAGTCCCAGTCCTGTATAACTGGTGCACGTTGGTAGCACGGTGAGTCCTTGGAACCCATGTTTTTTGGGGGTGGGCACAAGAGAAGGGGGTGTGCAGATTCCGCCCAGAGTACCTATCTGACCAATCTGCAGAGCATGAGGTGAGTCCTTGTGACTCCTCTCCCCACTGCTGTTTCTCTCCTGATCCTCTCCCCCAGAACTTCTCTTCCTAGGAAGCATGGATTTAACAATCCTTAATTTGCTGGAGTTTCAGTAGTTACAGGGTTAACTCACTGCTGAAACTCTGGGAGGTCGCTTATGACACTTCCAACACATTGAATTATTTATTATTTCTATTTTATTCATTTATTAAATTAGCATACCATCCTTCATTGGAAGATCGCAGGATGGTTCCCAACATAAAAATACAAAATGAGAACACGAATACATAATAAAACAAGAGCAACCCCCCATAATGCCCCCAAACACATTTAAAATGTCATAGAATGTTTAATAAGTCAAAGGCCTCGTTATAGAGAAACATATTTACCTGGTGCTTAAAGATATGTCATGAAGGCACCACGTGAGCTTTCCTGGGGAGACCATTCCACAAGTGGGGTGCCACCACCGAAAAGGCCTGCTGTCATGTTACTGCCCTCTAGAAACCTTGTGGAGGAGGCACATGAAGAAGGGCTTCTTGAGGTCCTTGATGAGTAGTCCCTGCTCCAGGAAACCTGCCAGGGAAACACAGTGTGAGGCATTTTGAATTGGGCCTGGAAATGAATTGGCAGCCAGTACAGTTGTGCCAGGAACAGGGCAATATGTCCAAACCATCTTGCCCCAGTGAGCAATCTGGCTACCGAATTCTGCACTAGCTGAAGTTTCTGAACTGTTTTCAGAGGCAGCCCCACAAATAACATGTTGCAGTAATCTAACCCAGAGGTTACCAGAGCGTAGACAACTGAAGTTAGGCTACCCCTGTCCAGATAGTGGTGCAGCTTGGCCTCCTTGCTTCCCAATCAGCTGCCCGAGCCATCAGAGGGCTGCTGCCTTCTAATTTTCTCTCTCACCCTCCTCACCACAGGGCCTGTTTCAACGACCTCCAAAGGAAGTACTGGATCTGGTGGCTAGTTCTAGACTACATTGCAGATAGCATCTACATCGCAGACATTGTCATCCGCTTTCACACAGGTGAGGGAGCTGTGTGGGGAGGAGCCTGGCTCAGCCTTCATCTCACTATGGTGGTTAAGGATTCCACCTCCAGCACTTGTGAGACAGAAAATGGCCCCAATAAAGCAAATCTTATTAATGGCAGTTCTGAAAAATAGAGTTCCCCAATGAAAGATTTATCAGCCTTCACTGCTGAATAATTTTCTTAAAATTACCCACCTGGGCATCAATATTCAGGTCTGGCAAAAGCCTCTGCCTTGATATCATATTGAGCTGATGAATGATCTGAATGCTGCGGGGTGGGCGGGAGGAGTGCAGAATCTCATGCTCTCCCACTATCTGGAGCTGGGACATCTTTTCAACAATCACCACCCGCCCTACAAGCTCACCATTCTAAGGATGGGAGGCCTGTTTTGCTTAGAAGTCCTGCCTGCTCTTCACAATACTGCTACTACCTGGCTCTAGTTGGATTACGAGGCTGGAGATGGGTGAAATCCAAGGCATGTGGAATGAACAGATTGGATGGAAATAAACACATCACCATATCTGCAGTGACAGCACTAGGCAAAGATTTTGCTGCGTTTTAATGCCTCACACTGTGTTTCCCTGGCAGGTTTCCTGGAGCAGGGATTACTCGTCAAGGACCTCAAGAAGCTGCGTGATAAGTACATTGCCACCATGCAGTTCAAGCTGGATGTCCTCTCTGTTTTGCCCACTGACTTTGCCTACTTTGCCGTCGGCTTAAACCGCCCCGAGTTGCGCTTCAACCGGCTGCTGCATTTCTCCCGCATGTTTGAGTTCTTTGACCGGACGGAGACACGGACCAGCTACCCAAACATCTTCCGAATCTGCAACCTGGTGATGTACATCTTGGTCATCATCCACTGGAATGCCTGCATTTACTATGCTATCTCTAAGGCCATTGGCTTTGGAGAGGACACCTGGGTGTATCCCAACATCTCAGACCCAGAGTTTGGTTATTTGACAAGGGAGTACATCTACTGCCTCTATTGGTCCACACTGACCTTGACTACCATCGGGGAGACCCCTCCGCCTGTGCGTGATGAAGAGTATCTCTTCGTCATCTTTGACTTCCTGATTGGTGTCCTCATCTTTGCTACCATTGTGGGAAATGTGGGCTCCATGATCTCCAACATGAACGCCACCAGGGCAGAGTTTCAGGCCAAGATTGATGCAGTCAAGCATTACATGCAGTTCCGCAAAGTGAGCAAGGACATGGAGGCCAAGGTGATCAAGTGGTTTGACTACCTCTGGACCAATAAGAAAACTGTGGAGGAGTGGGAGGTCCTGAAGAACCTGCCTGACAAGCTGCGGGCAGAGATAGCCATCAACGTCCACCTGGAGACGCTGAAGAAAGTGAGGATCTTCCAGGATTGTGAGGCTGGGCTTCTGGTGGAGCTGGTGCTCAAGCTCCGCCCCCAGGTATTCAGCCCTGGAGACTATATTTGCCGGAAGGGGGACATTGGCAAGGAGATGTACATCATCAAGGAAGGGAAGCTGGCTGTTGTGGCAGATGATGGCGTGACCCAGTATGCTATGCTCACAGCAGGCTGCTGCTTTGGGGAGATCAGCATCCTCAACATCAAAGGAAGCAAAATGGGGAACCGGAGGACGGCAAATATCCGGAGCATTGGCTATTCCGACCTCTTCTGCCTGTCTAAGGAGGACCTCATGGAAGCAGTGACAGAGTATCCAGATGCCAAGAAAGTCCTGGAGGAGCGTGGGCGAGAGATCCTCACCAAAGAAGGTCTGTTAGATGAAGCAACTGCAGCAGAGGGCATGGAAGGTATGGATGTGGGGCAAAAGCTGAGCAGGCTGGAGGCCAGCTTGGACATGCTGAATGCCCGGTTCTCACGCCTCCTGGCTGAGTATGATGCTGCCCAGATGAAGCTCAAGCAGCGTGTCACCTCCCTGGAGACCAAAGTGAAGCAAGACCAGCAGGATGACTTCTTCTCTGATGGTTCCATTAGCCCATCCACAGAAGAGGGGAAAGCCAAACCTTAACCTACTGCGCTGCCATCTGGATTTGAGGCAGCAGCATTTCCTTGCATCTGATGCCCATCCAGACTGCCTTGCAGTAACCCTGTCTCCACCAAACTGCTGCTCCCTAGCTGACTCTTTCTCTCCCCTTAGTCCATTCCCAGCTGTATGTTCCTGGTGACTTTCACCAGGGTCCTTTTAAGTCTCTCTTGAACTGTTTTGAGAAGGTCAGACACCCTCCATTTCTTTCCCCAAGTTGCATGTTCCTCCTCTCACCCTCGCCCCCAAATGGGCCAAATAGCACTGCCTCTGGCAGGTGCTTATTTGGAACATTCCCATCAAGTAACCCACTGCAGTGGACCACATTACCTGCTTACAATCTTATTTTGACAACCACTTTTGTGAAAATCTCTAAGCCGGTCCAGGTCCTTCCTGTTCGTGGAGCACATTCAGAGAAAACCTCTCCCTGTGAGCTGCCTATGCTCCCTAAGTCTGCATAGAGGGCAAAGGAAGGGGATGTGTGCACTTGGGTGTGTGGGGTGTTGGTGTTTGCTAGGGCCTGAACCCACCTGCTTCAGTGAGGATTATAAGATTTTGGAAATGTGTTAGTTGAAGATTGCTTGTATGCCTGCAATCCTGCCATCCCACACAAGCTCTTTAGCCCTGGTTCTGCTGCCTGGCTGCTCAAGCGGGCAGTGCTGTCTCATTCAGTCTCATTCCCTTTCTGCTCTTTGAGGCTTTTAAGGTCTCTCCTGACTGAGTTTCCCCCTCAGTTCTTGAAGACTCACAGCTCCTTCTGCATCGACTTTAGAGCTCCAATTGATGCCTCTCTTTAGCAAGCATTGCCTTGGGGGCTCGACACACCCCAGGCAGGTAGGGGGGACCCTGTACTTGTCCAGGGAAAGTGATTGAGCCCAACACAAATTCTGAACCTGGAACCTATCCCAGAAATGCTGGAGAGGAAAATCTCCTCACATTTCACATGAATGATTAAGCGGAAGTGGCTGCCCCATGTGTGCTGGGTAGAAATGGCCAGCTGAACATCAGGACAGGCTTGGTTGAGACCCTACCCCTCTTTCTTGTTTAACTCACCAGTATCCCTTGGCTAATGCACAATAGCTCTGCCATTCTCAGGGAAACACCCCACCCCCTGCAGCCCTCTCCCTTGTCCATTCCTCTCTTCTTGCCTCAGTTCATGACTGAGCCAGTTTACACAGAACAAGGAACTATGAACCCAAAGGCTGTTTACTTGCCCGAAACTCAGATTTCAGTTTTGAAGCCATCTTGTCAATTTCCATTTTTATGCACCAAATGAAAATGGGCCACTTTCCTCAGGGTTAGTTGTGGAGGAGGAGTATGCTTAGCCAAAGTGTTTCTATCAAGTTTTCACTGGGTCTGCTCAGATCCTGCCTGGAACCATGAATCCCTCCAGATCCATTTCTGGAATGAAACAGAAGCTCACAAGAATTTGGGGTGGAGCTGTGGGTATGGGAGCAGGACCCATCACCCAAAAAGCCCACAATGCTTCCAAGTCATCCGGCAGGCACATGACTTGATGTGGACTCTACACACCTGAGCCAAGGAAGCCACAACTGACAGGCGCCATGTGGGGCACGTTACACATCTTTAAAATAAAGAGCTCAGATGTGAGCAGCCAGTGGGTTTAGCAGATGGGTTGCATAGGTGCCTCCCTGCTCCCTCCCCCCAGTTTCCTGGCTGCTCTGGTTGGACTACGCAGACTGTGACTCTTTTACCCTGGGGCTTTGGGTCTGCTCAAGCTAATGTTCCATGAGCTTATTTACTTAACAAACAAATTGCCCTGCAGCTCTCCTTGCAGTGTGTGTGTGTGTCTAGCAATGTTAAATAGCAGTGGCGGCAGCAGCAGCTGCAGCAACAGCAATACATTCCTTTCCAGATCCCACAGACCTCTGGCTTCCCAGCTGCAAATGGTGAGCCACAAGGGGGTGCTGTGTACAGTGGAATGAATTGCAGTCCTGCCTGGCTCAGCCTGATTGGAATGGAGACACACTGAATGTGGGAGCGTCTCTCAAGCGGAAACCCAGAGCAGAGGGGCCCAGCTTTTCCCCTGGAGCCAGAAGCAAATCTTCTCTCTGGAAAGCAAACCTTGTCGTGCCGGAAGGCCTGGTGAGCTGGTCTGCTCATCCAATCCATGTGCTGTTGCTTTCATTTTCCTTCGGGAGGGAGTCTGCATGCAAATGACTTGTGGGCCAGCATGAATTTCACAGACCCTCAGGCTTCTGAAGTGCCTATTGCATTGCCCTCCAACTGTTCCTGAACCTATCCCAGGGAAGGAGGGCTCATTTCAAGATGTCACACCCATTTATACTTTTTATAAAGAGTTTCCCTGCTGAGGTTACTCATTAGTTATAAATATGGTTGCTAAAACTCATATTTTGTCATTTTGTATCTTATGTTTCAAGTGAGGGATGGTGTGACCGTGGCTCCTTTCTTGCTCATGGCAGGGTCCTGTTCCAGTGGGATCCTTTGTCTCCTTCCCCCTAACCCTGCCTGTCCCACAGTGGTGTAGCATGGTGTGTGTGTGCAAGGGGCACTGTGGCCCTGGGTGCAGAATTCTGATGGGGTCCAACTCAACACCCCCACAACTGGTTCCCTTACTGAGGCCACATGGCTGCACCACACTGTTGGCTCAAGTTCAGATTGTGCTCTGCTAAGACCCCTAGATCCTTTTCACATGCTCTACTGTCAAGCCAGTTGTCCCCCTTCCTGTATTTGTGCAGCTGGTTATTCCTGCCTACATTTGACCCTATTGAAATTCATTGTGTTACTTTGGGCCTATTTCTCAAATCTATTAAGGTCATCTTGAATCTTGATTCTGTCTTCTGTGGCATTAGCTACCCCTCCCATTTTTGTGTCATCTGCAAATGACCCAGAATTAATACCCTGTTAATACACATAGAATTGATGGCAAGAAGGGTGAGGATAGTTTTGGAGGTCATGTGTGCCTGGAACCCCTTTTGGGGAAGGGTAGTGGGTGTAGACAGTTTTGGAGTGAAATAAGGGTTGCAAAGGGCCCCTGGCACACACGACCACATGGTTGCCTGCCACTTGCTTTGTCATTCCTGCTTTCTGCTTGAGGCAAGCTGGGCATTTGACTCATTTTCTGTGTGAAAATCCAGGATCCATGATGCACTTTGCTGCTTCTGAGACCACAACAAGAGCGTTTGTGTGGGGTGGAATGCAAGACCACAGATTCTGCTTAAGGGCAATCTGTGCACACAGTGTTTTGAAGGATTTTTTGTTTGTTTGTTTTTTATAACAGAGAACCCTCAAGAGTGAGAGCTGTTTCAGCACTCTGGACAGCGGCTGCAGGGCTCATATGCAGAGATACAATCTCAGGGAAACACGGAAGAGCTGATGATGAGGGTGACAATGACAGCGTATGCATGCTTGCTCCTTGAAAAGCCTACCCAGCCCACCCTGTTAACCTACTTGGGAAAATCCTAAACCTTTAAACCATTACTTGACAGAATTCAAAGCAGTCTGCCTGGTTTCTTATGGTGCTTGGAATTCATAGGTTCCCAAATGCCCTAATGAAATTAAGGCTAGCATTTCAGCGGCTAATAAACGGACATTTGTGCTAATGTAGAGGACCCCAGTAGCGAGACTCAGCATTGCTTGGGGGAAGCTCAGTCCCTGGGAGAAGCTGAAGGAGCATCTGGCATCCCTTGAGGGTCTTCCTGGTACTGGCTTCAGCCTCAAGAATCCTGTGACGAGGGCAAGATTGGGGGAAACCATGCAGCCAACTGCAGCAGCTTGAGAGCTCAGTGGCAAATTTCACCCAAGCCTTGAGGTCTGAAGCAGGAGAAAGAGGCCTCAAAGCATCCTTCGAGGTGCCTCCCAGGCAGTCTTCTTAGATGAAAAAACTGTTTCCTTCAGGGAGTAGCTTTCCCACTCCAGCAGTATTTTCACTGTTGGAAACTGGCTTCTTTAGATAATGCTAGGTAAAATCCTTGGGGCAGGTTATTTCCAAAAGGACACCTGCTGCCCTAGCCCCACTCATATACTTCACTGCTGGGTCTCTGCATATATCTGCATGCCTTTCATTAGTGTGGGAAATTATTTGTTAACCTCATAAATCTATCCTGCAAAAGTGAAGTGCCCGAGCTGAAATCCAGGTGCAAGGAAATACTCATGATTTGTCACATGGAGAAGCAAGCCAGGAACTTGAACACATGCTCAAATTATCCATTTATTCCTGGACACACTAGCCCCAAGCACCACCCTCCCTCCTCCCCTGACACTAGCATTTACTCCAAAGTAATGCCATTCTGATTCCAATCCACCAAAGCCAAGGGAAATCAGACAGAAGATTGTGGATAGCATCTGACACAACAACCTTTACTGCTGCCAATTTGGCTTCCCTGCTTGTGAACTCTAAGTGCTGTTTTGGGGGTTTAAATGAGGCCATTAGTGGTTGGTTTGGGGTTCCTTCTAATTAATCCATGTTTCAAGCTCTGCAGCCAAATCAAAGAGTTCTGGATGCTCAGATATGAGATGGAGGCCTCCCTCTGCAGGGAAAGAAGGAAGGAATATCAGCCTCACCATCATGGGAAAGGGTCTTCCCGGAGCCAAAGAGTACAGCAGTCAGCTAGGCTTCAGCAAGAACAGCACCCAAGTTCGAGACTCCAAAAAATGTGTGAGGGTGTACATGTAGGGTTCCAGAATTTCAGACAGGGGCCCTTTCCCAGTGTCACCTGACAATGCTGCTGAGGGGTTGAGCCTGGAACCTTTGGCATGCAAAGCAGGTGCTTTGAACACTGAGCTGTGGCCCTTGCCCACAATTCCACCCCACCAACGGTGCTCTTGAAAGAAGCCTATAAAGGGCCATTTGTTGAGCTGGCCCAGAAGTAGGAAAGGTTCCAGGGGGAGGCCCTGCTACCTGTGACTGCTGCACTGGGGGCGGGGGTGTCATAGCCTACAATAAAAGAATTGTAGATTTGGGAGGGACCCTGAGTGTCATCTAGTCCAACTGCCTGTAATGCAGGAATCCCAGCTAAAGTATCCCTGAAAGATAGCCATCCAAACTCTGCTTGAAAACCTCCAAGGAGAATCCACCATCTCCCAAGGGAGACCGTTCTACCATTGAGCAGTTCTTACTGTCAGAAAGTTCTTCCTGCTGTTCAGTCAGAAATCTTTTTTCCCCCTTTTTCTTTTGGTAAGATGAATCCATTGGTTTGGGTCTTACCCTTCTGAGCAGGAGAAAACAATCTTGCTCCATCTTGCATATGGCCAGGGGCATACCTAAGGGTTGGTCAGGTTGGCCCCCACCAAGGATGCATCCCTCCCCTCTGGCTTGGAATGGCTAGAAGCCTGCATGCCCACACATTTGCATACTACATGGGCTGCTACTCCCCTGCTCTAGTAGGCTGGGCAAGGCATGCAGGCTCCTCTGGGGACCTCAGTGGAGGAATCAGGTCACTGGTGTGAGACATTACAACCCTGTGGGGTCCTCCCCCATTCAGCTGACTGCACTATTAGACGTGTGAGCAGAGCACCCAGCAGGGCTTGGAAGGAAAAAAGATGAGAGAGCAGGCAAGAGTTGCAGGAGGAAGAAAAAAGGGAGGAAAGTTGGAGGCAGAAGGGAAAACAGCAAGCACAGGAAGGCAGGAAGACAAGCTGAGAGATGGACTGATGGAGGAGGAGGTGGGGAGGTGGAGCAGAGCAGACCCTACCCCCGATGGCACTGGCAGAGTGCAAAAGGTTATGAAAGGCAAACGTTTTGAGTTTCTGGTCCTTGCCATGGGTGCAAGGGAACCTTGGTACACCTCTGAATCTGACAGATATTTGGCTTTCCTGTCTCCTCTCAGTCTCCTCTTTTTCAGGCTAAACATACCCAACTCCCTCAACCATTCCGCATAAGGCTTGGTTTCCAGAGCCTTCATTATCTTGGTCACTTTCCTCTGTGTGTGTTTCAGCTTGTCAATATCCATCTTAAATTATGGTGCCCAGAAGTGGGCACAGGACTCTAGGTGGGGTCTAACAAATCCAAAATAGATTGAGTGAGGGAAATTCTCCCTCCTTTCCTGACGATTCAGAGTTGCTAATGTTGTTGGATGCATGCAGAGTCTCCACTCTGGCAGTTATCCAGGGGTGGTAGTGTTTGTAGGGATGAGATGGCGCATGCGGATCCGCTCCTGAGCCAGAACTGCAGTTGGTGATGAAAGCTCCAGGTTCAAATCCCAGCTTAGCCCCTCAGAGAATCATGAGTTGCTCAGTCTCAGACCAAGAGAGAGATTTTGATTCATGTTTTCCTGGGTCAGGGGCTGTTGGGGAGCCTTCCCTGTCCTCTGCAGTCAGTTCATGCCACTGTGTTGAGTGGGCTGATCCTGCCTTTGAACAGGGATCATGGTCCTTTCATCACTCCTGTCGCTTTTGCTCCTTTAGCTGAATTCCCATCAGGATAAAGGAGACTTTAGTGAAAAGGTTGGATGAACAAGAGAAATGCTAGAAAGGCACTTTTGAAGTGTGAAGGAGGAGGGGCGCCCCCCCTCCCCGCAACCCAAGCCAAGCTATACATAATTCAGACTTGTTAATTGCTCTTTTTACCACGCCCTGCGTACCCATTAATCATCATGGCTCTTTCTTTTCTTCTCTTTAATTCAAACCACCACTTTTGGGTCTTGCACTGCCCAGAGCCAATATTGATTAGTTTTAAATATATATATTACAAACAAGAATTTCTTCCAATAAGATTTATAAAGGATGGTGCCTTTTTGTAATAACACATTTTCCAATGAAAGGAAAAACGAAGCATAGGAGACCCCAGGCTTATTTCCTTTAACAGCCTGTAATTGAGGGTGCGGGAAGGAGGGGGGTGCAGAGGAGTTGAAGGTGGGAGATGCCTGGGTTCCTGAAAAGGACATCCCACTCTCTGGTCTTCTCCGGGGGCAGTACTATCCCACTTTTGTATAAGGAGGACACTTCTTTGGCACAAAACTTTGCAAGGCTCTTCTTCTACATGGAGACATCAGGGAGTTTCCTGCCCCTGCCCAAAAAGAAACAAATGGTTTGCCAGGAATACAGCTGGGTTTTTTCTCACACTTTGCAGCACTGAGTCATTCTGCTGCTCTGCTGGGTTTTGGTGGGGAGAAAAGAAGAGAAATTCTGCTCCCAGTGTTCACACCAGGGTGACCTATCCCATTTCACCACCTAAGGTAAAATGCAAAGGTGCTTCTCTGCCAATGGCCTCCCCACCAGAGGTGGAGTGGGCCACCCCCACTTGTCTCACTTACCAGGGTCACAGGGTTGCGGGTTCTGGTGCAGTCTGCCTCCCTGGGCTGGCCCTGGTTCCCTGCAAGGATGGATGGTGTGTGGTGCCAGTGTGCTGTTGCACCTGTTTCAGTGGCCAACTAGGTGCAACAGCCACACTTGCCACTCTGTTCCCCAGAGGCTGGAGGTGACCCATAGCCTTTTACCTTGTAGCCACTGCTGACTTTGTCCTCCAATGGAGCATAAAGAGTGTTGGAATCCTAGAAGCCAAAATCCAAGTTTGGGGCAAGTACTATTTGTTGACAGAACCCCAGCAAAGATTTAACATTTCAAAACATGCAGCAAAAAAAGCATAGAAATATAGGCTATAAAGCCTCTAGAATGTGCCTTTCCAGTGAACTGCAAAGTATCCCACTTTCCTAACAAAACAGGCCACATGTCTGGTAAGTTATAAAATGGCTTACTTAAAAGAAACTCCAAATGTCAGATTCATGTGTTTTTCCCATACAGCAGTCAGAAAAAGGTTGCATAGGCAGTAAAATATGCCTGGTTACAAAATCGTAAGGTCCTAAACTATACATATAGGCAAAATGCTAGTTTCAGATTCCTTTCCTGTCTGAAACAAAAGAGGCTGGTTGAAGCCATGCGGCTGGAGGGAGCAGCCAGAACTCACACATTGAGTTCACAAGTAGACTGAGTACAGCAAAAGACTTGATGACCAATTTCCTCCCAAGATGAGGGGAAATGACATAGGCTAAGCCTGGCAGGACAGCTTACTCTATAGTACTAACCCCTTCAAGATTTAATTAGACTCAGGCATGCTGGTTATATGAGACGGGTTACCGTATAAGGAAGACAGAGTTCTGACAGAGAAACATTTTTAGCGGTGGTGGTGCTCCTCAAGCACTACTAATCCTTGGGACAGGAACAGCCCTTCCCCTGTTGCAGGAGTGAGGGAAACCACTGCCTAGCTGTGCACAGAAAGAGATGCTGAACAGGTGGCCAGAGGCAGAATTTCTCCTCAAAGCCAGTGAGTCTCACCAACACATGCATGGCAGGAGTGTCCATGGCTGGGTGGTGGGGAGATTCTCTCAGAGATAAGAGAGACTCCTGGAGGTGGACCAGGGGAAAGCAACACAGCTGCCCTAGTTAGGCTTTCTGTCCAGGACTTTACATGTGTTCATTTTCTGTGTTTTCTTATGTAAACTGTAGACATTTGGTCTGGCGGTCTGTATCTTGGGCATTGCCTCTGGAATTACTGGGTCA